AAGTGGAATCTTTTAATGATGCTGGAGGCAAAACCACTGCTTTTGGGATTTAGCACTTGGTGCAATTCAACTCTACACACTCTCTTTATTCAATGCGCCAGTTGAAAGAGTTTTTTTAACAAGTTGCTCTGCTTAAAGTCAAGTCCAGAAATCACATGGGCCTGCCGATCATGTCAAGTTTGATGCATGTGCAAACTGGACTACAGTAACACGGAATGGATGGACATCAGCAACAACCCGACCTCTCCAACAGTTATTGGGGAGATTTCATTAAACCATGTGCTGATCACAAATCACAATGGATTGTATTATAGTTCATCTGAGTAAAAGTTCAGTGTTCAGATGTTCAATGTTTAACAATCTAATAAGCATTAAAGGTAAGAATTCAAAATCAACCATGATAAATGTAATTATTTCAGTCATGTAAAAATAAACTTAGCATATTTGTGTAGGCGCTCTGATCGTAGTTTGTCTGGGCAGATTTTGCTGGATTACATGTTTTTACATCTAGTGTTGAATTACATTGTACTGAAGTGTGTTCATGTTCACACAGTAAATATAACAATATATTAATTGGGCGGGTTGTTGTGTGATGTGGTGGTTTTTATACAGATGTTTTGGCTAAAAAAACCTCAACTCTATCTGGCAACACTTTTTCCTGATTGTTTTGTTTTACCTAAATGAAGAGCTTTGCGACTGGACCCACATTTCAGCGTGACTTACTTACCAGCTGGAAAACATGCTACAATATCTAAGTGAAAGTCATCATTAGTGTAGACCCAGCTCCTATCCAACTTTGAGAAAAGATTAACGGCAATATTTGTTTATCGCCCAATACGAGTCTTTACAAACTGTTGCAGTTTTAGTCAAAGTTTGTCCAAGTTAAAGCAAATGAAGCAACCTTTTAATTTTCCCAAACCATCATAGCCCTCACAAAAGTGCTTCAATTTTACCATAGCAAAAAAACTAAATCTAAAATCTTCACATTTGAATATTTAAAATCAAAAGACTTTAAATTTGACACTTTAGGTGAAGATAAATTTAAAAACTTGGAATTATTTAAGAGTCAAAACATTGCAAGCTTACAAATGTGCATATATAATCTTAATTGATAGTAAAAGGACACATATCTTACTTTAAATATTTCCATTTACAGTTCAAATCATTCAGTTTTGGTTTATATATAGTAGGACTACAATGCTTTGGTCTAAATCCATCTTTGCTGTAGCTCCCTAGATGTCCAATTTACTAATTTTCTAACAAGCATTTTTGAGTGTCTCTTTAAATGCAATTGAGGTACTTAACACCCGCCCCCCCCTCCACTTTGATTTTTTTTTATTTGATAATCTAGTGGCACACAACCTTTTTTTTTAATCTATCAAAAGAAGTCAACAGTAGAGCAAGAAGAGCTCGAGTCTGACCAAGAGCGAGAGATAAATCTTAGAGTAGTATAACAACTGTTTTAGTCTTCTAGGCTACATTAAGAATTTCAATTCAAATAATGTTTTTGACAATATTTTACCACAAAGTGCATGTTAAAAACCAATAAAATATAAATGCCACCACAATATAAATGAACACTGACTTCACTGTAATCTATATTATATGATTCTGAGCGCTGTCACTGAATACATTTGGATGGTATTAGACTTAGGCAAAGTCATTTTGTATAAACTAAAAAAATAAAAAACAAAACTCCCTTGCTTACAGCTTGCAACAGTGAAATGAACATTACCATTTAAAGTGCAGCAGTGATCATCATGTAAACAGTATAGGAGAAAAGGAAACCGATTTAAGAAATAATGGTGCAAAAGGGTATTACGGTAATATGGAAAGGTTAAATGCAGTGCAGTGTGTGTTTCCATAAAAAAATAGAAATAAAAAAAAATACATACCATGCACCTTTTTCTTTGTTTGGCTATTTGAGCGGATGTAACGAATAAAGTTTTCCACTGTAAGATCAATCAATCAATCAATCAATCAATCAATCAATCAATCAATCAATCAATCAATCAATCAATCAATCAAGTTGCTGTCTGATGCTACTGGTTTATTCT